AAAAAGGAAGGAAGGAAAGAAGAAAGGAAGGGAGAAAGAGAGAAAGAAAAAGAAAGAAAGGAAGGAAGCAGAGAAAGAAGAGAAAGAAAGAAAGAAAGAAAGAAAAAAGAAAGGAAGGGAAAGAAAAGAAAGATATAGTTCAGTGTGAAGGCCCTGAATTGAACTGCCAGTACTACCCACCAAAAAAAATCATATGGGCTTTAAAAAGTATCTAATAAGTACAATGGGTGGAGGGAGTCCTCAGTGGAAAAATGGAAAGTTTCTTTGAGGCTTACTAAAGTTCTTTCTTGTAACATACTCACCAGTTCTCCTGTTCCTGATAAGAAAGAAAAATGGATGGTCGACAATAACTTGAGGATATAGCACAGCCATCCTACTAATTGCAATCATTCCTACAGTGCAAAGAGAAAGTTATTACATGTCTGTGTATGTGCAATGGATAATTTCTCAGGACCATTTGTGTTTATCCATTTAATGCAAAGGCAATCGTCAGAAAACAGGAGTCTAAGACTTGAGAGAAAAATTGTAAAGATATTAACATTTCTACTTATTTTTCTTTTTTAAAAACAAAACAAGAATACTACACACAATTTCCTCCCTCTAACTCATCAAAAGTAAGAGGACAATTTATTCTGTCTGTTATAAAAATTGTATTTTCAGTCTAAGATAAGTATTTGTGCTTTCATCAAAACATCCTTTCAGTTAAGAGACGGGGGAGAAGAAAAAATTCCTCAAAACAACAAAAAAAGACAATTTCTTTATGTTTTCAAGTTACTATTTCTTTCGCTTAAAATAGATTTTTTTATGTAGCATGCCTCCGGGGTTCTAGTAAGTGATCAGTGTGGCAGTGATTAAAGGGGAAACAAATGTGAAAGACACAGTGGTATTTCCAAAGGTAGGATATTGAATTCCCCGGAGGTCTGTATGATATGGAGGATTATTATATACTTGCCACCATGTAGTTAGTAGTCAAAAAAGTCAAGACTAAACTACACAATATTTTAAAGTTTTTTTGATACTGAGTATTACTGTTTCTGTTTACTTCTGAAAATACTGTTACAACTGGTAAAGTTAGAAATAATGTGTGCACATGATAAAAACAGCATGGTACTGGCAAAAAAAACAAACCCAAGGATCAGTGGAACAGAATGGAAGATGCAGAAACAACTCCAAGCACATTCAGCTATCTTATCTTTGAGAAAGGGGCCAAATGCCTTCACTGGAAGAAAAGATAGCCTCTTTAATAAATAGTGCTGGAGGGTCAGGGATTTAGCTCAGTGGTGCCGCCACCTGCCTTGCAAGTGCAATTAGTAAAAAAATTAGTAAATAAATGAAAAATAAAATGAATGGTACTGGAAAAGCTGACTTTCCACATGCTGAAGATTAAGCCTAGACCCATATGCATTAAAGTGAAATCAAAATAGATCAAAGATCTAAATAGTAAATCAAAAACAATCTGCTGGAAGACAAGTAGGCACAACTCTCAAAGGGAAAGACTTTATGAACAAACTCCAATAGCAAAGAAAATATTACAAAGAATCAATGACTGGGATCATATCATATTAAAAAAGCTTTTGCACAGCAAAAGGAGAGACAACCCACAGTGTAGGAAAAAAGTTTTTCTAGCTGTTCCTCAGATAAAGGACTAATATTTAGAATATATAAATAACTCAAAAAAATCAGATCCACCCCCAATTTAAAGACCCAATCAAAAAATGGGCATCTGAAATGAATAGATATTTCTCAGATGAAGAAGTAGAAATAGCAAATAAATATATGAAAAAATGTTCCACATCAGTGGTCATTTGAGAAATGCAAATTTTAGAAACACTGAGATTCCATTTTACTCCAAAAAGGATGACTATCATCAAGAAATCAACCAATAACAAATGCTGGCAAGGCTGTGGGGAAAAAGGAACCTTTCACTGCTGTTGAGAGTATAAATTGGTACAACCACTACAGAAATCAATATGGAAATTCCTCAAAAAAACTGAAACTACAGAGTTTCCATTTGACCCGGCTGTTCCCCTTCTAGTTATATTCCTGAAAGAGTTAAAAGCATCATATACCACAGTGCTATATGCACACCCATATTTCCAGCAGCATACTTTATAATAGCTAAATCTTGGAAATGGCCCATATGCCCATTGACGGATGTGTGTATGAAGAAAATGTAGTATTTATATACAATGGAGTACTTCTCTGCCATAAAGAAGGACAAACTTGAGACATTTTTAGGTAAATGGATGCACCTTGAGAATTTTAAGTGAAATAAATTGAACGTGCATGTTTAAATATTGTAGTTTCTCTTGTGTGAGAAATCCAAAGGGTAAATAAGGAGCAAAATGGAGGATAGATATTGGGAAGTAGGAAGAAAATGTTCAAATGGAAAGGGGAGCAGTGGAAATGAAGGAAGGGAACAAGGATTTTTAAAAAAGAATGAAAAGAAAATAATGGAAACAAAGTTTTGTAAATGCAGAGGGAAAGCAGGATTAAAGGGAGGAGAGGGGAATGGGAAAAAAAGAATTAAGATATCATGTATATGGGTACAAATCGCCTATGATGAATGTGATTGTTATGTATGGCAAAAATGTACCAATAAAAGTTAATTTAAAAAATAATGTGTGCAAATAAGCTAACAGTTTGCCAAAGGGAGTTTCCTACTAAAATCTGATGAAAGCTTTTGAACATTGGATTGAAGCAAATCCAAATAAATAAAAAGAGAGAGAGAAATAGCAATGGAAAAATGATTCTCAGTTAACTAGGTACTCTAGACATGTAATTTGTGTTAATTTTTAAAAATTATTTATTTAAAATTATGGTTTTATTAGTACCATTCAGTTAAAAGTATTTAAGAATATTTATTACATCCATTGTATATTCTTATGTTCACACTTTTAAAAAATTAAAACTTTTCATTAACAAAATTAAGAACCAACTTCGAAAAATAATTAAAAATCAAGGAAAATGCTTAAATGAGCATCAGGGAAATATTTAAACAGGCAGCATAGCAGGAATATCTATTCTCACAGAGCTGCAGATGTGCGCTGAATCTCATTAGGGAGAAAATGAAAATGGGAGTTATATTGTAGAGGGGCAGTGGAGTGCACATACGCTTCACATCCTATTTAGAAAATTCTGGCTGGTTCAGCATTTGCTTAATTTCTAACTTAGACCAGAATCAGATTTTTGGCTTGGTTCTGAAAATGATCTCCACCCCCACCCAAGATTGTTTTGAAAATATAAATCTAAAAGAGTAGAGATTTTAGGAAATAACTTAGTATGTACCTGAAGCAGCAGCAGCTTCTGAGCCTTCTTCATTAACCTCTATGAAGGACTTGTGAATTGCTTTGGAAAGGAATATCTCTCTGTTATCTGCAAAAGAGAAAATCAGAAGCATTTCTTTAGTAGAGGGAACCCTATTTATCCTTTCATTAAATGGGTTTCCAGATAGGACACAAAGACATTGATATAAAAGACAAGAGACAATGCAAGAAGATTTCACTTAAGAGCTTAAAGAACTATTGAAGATGTGATTTCTAATTTTCCCTTAATTTATATTTTTGATAATGTGTGATCTTTCAATGTAGGAATAGGGTTTGTTGTTTGCTCTTATGGATAGATTTTATTTCTGAACCAGCAAATATTCATTTATGTATTCATTCATTCATGTACTCAGCACCTACTATATTCCAAGCACTGCTGGGAATACTACTGGGAATTAAACAGTTCTTTCCTAGTAAAGTAAAAATGGATATCAATAAAAAGACAATAAAAAAGTAAATCCAGAAAAGACCACAATCTCAGGATATGACAAGTATAAATGAAAACAAGATAATGTGGTAGTGGGTGACTGGGGTAAGGAAGAGGGGCCATTTGACAAAGGTTATTAAGAAAGCTGAGATCAAAGGAATGTAAAGGAGCCATCCAAGAGAAGACCTCACCAAAGCATTTTAGGTGGAGACAAAAGGTCGTGCAAAGGCAAATACAAGCTGGGCATGTTCAGAGGTGCAAAGGGGGCGATGAGGCTGAAATGTAGGATGCAGGGATGGTTGGAGGCATGACAGAAGTACCCTCTCTGGCAAGGCAGTGTCTAGTGTCGTTCCTCTCTGCACTCACCCACTCAGCATCTCTTCTGATCCCACGCCCCTCCCCCAACACGAGGCTGGTGTCTGAGAACACAGACTCTCTCACAGTCCCTGCTTTTGAATAGCTCAGAGCTCAAAAACAAGTATATAAACAAACAGCCCAAGGAAAAGGTGAAATGCGGTAACAGAGGTCGGAGTAAAGCGCTACCAGGCTCCAGATGAAGAAAAATAAACCACTCAGGAAGGAAACTTCTCAGAGATGTTGGCATTTGGCCTGGTTCGTGAGGAATAAGTAGATGAGTGAAAAATCAGAGAAGTGGCAAGGACACTGTGAGCAGAGGATTATATTAGCAAAGTGGGAGAAACGGGGGATGGCTTGACGGTCCAGCTGGAGCCTAGGCTATGAGGAAGTGGGCAAGTGGGAGGGGATGTGCATAATTTCAAGAGCTTTGACTATGAGGTTAGAGAGCTTGGGCTTTGTCCAGGAAGAAGAGCACATGAGTGTTTTGATTGTAGAAGATTCTTGTAGCAGCAACTGTGAAAGGTAAATTGGATGAGCAAATAACTAGAGGGCAGGAAGATCAAGTTTGTTGGCTGTCACAGTAGTCCGGGCAAGAAAGTAGGAGCAGAAATGGAGTTATAGCAATGGAAAACAAATGAGTCCTCTGGCTTACAGGTGCAAGGAGAAAGAGAACAAACAAGGTCAGGATGTAGAAGCTGGTCCAGCATAAATCTACAGCACTTGAGTCTGACCTGAATATGGCTTTCACTGTGTCTTCTTAATTCCTTTATTTTACTGGCTCCTTTATTAAAGCTCATACTTTATGCTGAAGGATTTAGTACTCTCTTTCTCTTTCCCCTTACACTTTCCAAGAGGATTACCTATTAATCCAAATGCTGACAGTCATTCATTTCCATTATAAAAGTAGTGCTGCTTTACAATAGGATCCTTGCTGCAACTAGATGAGCATTTTAAACAGAGTCTGAGAAGAAAATGATTTTCAGCACTGTCTATATTCCATGTTTATTGTATGAGTCTTTACTGTGTTTTATGTAAATGGAATCTAGCATCAAAAGCAATGGATAATCGAATTGAAATGAAGAAAGGAACCTAATAAATACAGAGCATCTCATCTTAGTTATTGCTCCATTCGGTGAGTATTAAGAAGGAAGCACTGTGCTAGGCATTGAGGAAACATTTACAAGAATTGGGGTTAGGGAGGTTTAAATTCTATCAAGAGAGATTAGATACATAAAACAACATGACATAACATACATGCCATAAACAAAGGCACAAAATATGAGGAAGTTAACAAGTGATTTCTTCTGATTGGTGTCATCATGCTGGGTTGATGAAGTTGGGGATGTCTGAGCTAAGGCTCAACTTAAGTATTTCAAGTGGGAGAGATTTTATAAAGATGGGAAGCTGGAGAGATGTGCAGCATAGAGTAAGCACACCCTGTGGCTGCAGAACAAACTCTATATGAGGAATCACACAGAGCAAAGGCTGGAGGGAGCTAAGGTATCAGCAGCTGGCTAAGCAGTGAGTGAGGCACAGCAAAACAAAGGCCGGCTTTGATCAAGAAGTGGGATGATCTGAGAGCAATTTTTAAGGTGATTAATCTTGGCAGATTAGATTAGAGTGAGATTAGAAACCATCTAGAAGACTGCCAAAATAGTCTAGGGCAGCAGTAATAAGAATCTTACCTAAGAGTTGATGCAATAGGATAATAAATGAAAAAATGGACTTGAGGTCTTAATAAAGGATCTCAAGTCACTCAGCTTTTCTAGAAACAAGTGGAAGTCAAGCAACGTTGCTGTTTTTCCCATTGCTAAATCACATTTGTGATTTTTGAAGAAAGAAAATTTTCATTACATAATCTAAGAATATTACAGTGTCACATTAGTAATGAGTTAGCCTTTGGGTGCTTTCCAATTTACTGGTTAAATCTACTATTAGTATAAATTTTAAAAAACTTTTTTTATAACTTTTAAGTGTTTTAAGTGAAAAGAATAATACATACGCAAGGTAAATATACACAAACATATGTTCTTCTATGTCTTTTGATCCAAATGCTCCCATTTGTTTTTTAATTTGTTCTTCTCCAATTCCTTAATGCTTTTGCTAATATAGTTTCACAACCTCTTCACTGTTGACATTCTCGGCTATAGAGTTCTTTGTTCAGGACCTGTTCTGTGCATTGTCAAAGTTTAGAAGCATCCCTGGCCTCTACTTACTGGATCCAGTAGCATTGCCCAATTGTGACAACCAAAAAGACTCCAGCTATTGCCAAATGTTCCAGCAGTAGGGGCAATTGTCCTTGTTGAGAACACTGTTCTAATAAAACATTTCTATCAGTCTTCCTTTTATCAAATGTAGCAGTTAAATCCTTCATGCTTCTCTTGGTCAGGCACGATATTATAATCATTTCTTTATGTTTCTGACACAGTATGTTTCTTAGATTACCTTCCTCATTAGCAGTTGTTTAGTGAAAGGAATAGATGTAGCACAGAGGACAACTGATGATACATCATAAACACCATGGGATATATATGTCCTAAACACCATGAGATTCCTATTAAAGTTCAATGTACTAACTAAATAAATGCAAATAATTTTTAATGGGTATTTGTAAGGGTTACTAAAAATCACTGACAGATTAATATCAAGGTTTTCATATTATTTGGAAATGCAAAATAAAAATAACAATGTAAAAATTACTAACCATGTAAGGCAGAACATCTGGTATCTAAAGAAATGATGCAGAGATAAATGGTATAGAATTTAGAGGAGGCAGAAAGGCAAATTTTATAAGTATGATGCTATTTTTTGAATGAGTGGTTCATACATTAATGAAAATTGATGGGGTTATCACTGGCATGCTAGAGCTACCAGGATTCCAGCAAAACTAACAGCTTAAGAAGCAGAGAATGTCCACTGAACTTTGAAAGGTTTAGTTAGATATTTTGTCAAATGTTTCTGAACACTTGAACTAGATGGTGTTTAACAATGGCAAATACTGGATTTGGTGGCACTAGGCTGATGTTTTAAGGAGGCAAATATTCCAAGAAATATAATATATGTAACATATAAGGGGCCCAAAGAAACTATTTCTTCTTCCCTCTGCCCATTTTTCCTCTGCAAACATTTACTGTATGCCAACCGTGTGCCAGCCTGTGCCAGGTATCAGGAATACAACTGTGAACAGGACATTGAGAAGCACTCAGTTCTTATGGAGGCTTGATTAAATGAATATATACTCTGGATACAGAACACATGAATTCTCTGGAAGATTCTAGTGTTATTTCAAATCTCCAAACCATCTGCATTCATAATATATATTTATGGTCTATTGTCTCTGTACATAGTAAAAGCAATTAAATATTGCCCTACAAACCTTCCAAATATGTCAGAAATTATAAGCTACACTGACCACAAAAATTGATTTGCCACTGCAGTGCTGCTCCCTCAGGACTGAGAGGCAGCAGATACTGTATTTGTGTAAAATAAATACCTGGGTGTTTGGGTGAGACAGTGAGGAATCACTAATCAAACTGAAAAGAGACCCATGTTAAGAAGGCAGAATGTAATTAACCAGTTGGAATTTGGCCAGTCTAGTAAGACAGATTGTCTCAATTTCGGGAGGAATAGAGCTTTTGCACTTTAAACTATATTATGCTTCAACTGTGAATATATTTCTGACACAGGGATGAAGATTCCATATGAACTTTGGAATCACCACCAGTCCTACCTTCTTGACAACTCCAGTGAGGAATTTAAAGCCCTTGGAACTTGGGCATAAGCCATGAAAACATTTACTCAGAGAAAATTCATTTCTCTTGTGTGGACAGGAACATTTATACAGAAGACATTTAGAAAATCTCTATTAGGGGTTAGGGCTGTAAGCTATCTGAATAAGGAGTAGAAGTTGTGATACCAAGATACATCGATATCAACTCATTGCTAGAAGCTGATTGTTGTTTAGAAAACATTCTGCACAATCCTCACTCTGGGAGGGCAGAGGACTTTTTGATCATAGGCTTCTTAAAATTTTCTTGAAGATCTCTCTTTCTCTCTGTCTCTCTGTCCCTCCCCTTCCCCATTCTCTCCCTCACATTTGCAAGACTGCATGTGCACACATATAATCAATTTCAGAAGTAAGGGCATCTATTTTCTTGAATTTAATCCAGCTTCAACAGCTCTATTTCAAAGCTCCATAGCTTTGATTTTCTGTAGGCTGCTGATGCAGGAGAAGAAATCTACATTCTTGCCTGTAACTCATTGGACTTCTATCACCTCAGTGCTCTCTAGTTAGAGAATTTGGTTGAATAAACTTGCATGTAAAGAGAACTTTACAAGTTGAGTTTATTTTTTTCTTAGTATACATATCTTTAACCTATCAGAAAATAGAAAATGATTTAAAATAATCATTAAGTCCACTGTTGCTTTCTTTCCTTCCTTTCTCTTTCTTTCTTTTTCTTTCTGTTTTGCTTTTAGTGGCATTGGGCAATGAATCCAGGAATTACCAAGGTACACTCCTGGCCCTTTTACATTTTTTTTCTTTTATTTTGAGACAGAGTTTTGCTAAATTGGCCAGGCTGGCCTTGAACTTGCCTCAGCCTCCCACGTAGCTGGGATTATAGGCATGTGCCACTGTTCCTCGGTGGATGTTCATTTTTTGACACAGGCTCTTCCTAAGTTACCCAAGCTGGTCCCAAACTCAAGCAAGCCTCTGGATTCAGTTGAGACTATGAGACACACTAAGTTGTGTCACTGTGCCCAACTTGTTGCCTTTTATTAATAATAAATGCCTTGGGGTTATTCATTTAAAAATAGATCCAAAAGTATTTTAAATGGTCTAAGTGCTTTAATATAACTTATATTTTATGATTTTAATTCTGTACAAGTTGGGGTATCTGAATCAATTCAAGTGGATTTTTTTTCCCTTGGGATATTTAGAATAAATTACCCAATATCTCAAAGTGCCAGTATACTTTGAAGGTACTTCTTCAAAACCATTGTTTTCTATTTGAAGACACAGGTAAAGGTTTATATAATCTCACATTATTCTCCATTCTTTTAAAAGGAATCTTTGGTCTAGTTCTCACAGCAAGAGGCACTCATTTATCTTCTCTTCTTTTTCCCTTCTGATGATTCATTACAGTGGGACATATTTAGATATTCAACTAACACATTTATTGATTATCTACTCTCCATGGCATTGTGTCAGATAAAATGGAAAATTCCAAGATGTATAAGCCAAGTCTTCTGGAGAATACAATTTATTATCAAAGATAAGACATGGACAATATAATATAAACTTAATACTATGTATTTATAGTGTGTTTGTAGAAGTTAAAACTACTTCTTACTAGATTTATTTGGAAAGCAAAATCATATTTTACCCCAGAATTCTATAGTAAATAGAGGATTTACCATCATTATTTTTAAACACTTTTAAAAAATAACATTTAAAATTGATATTTATTTCTTACCAGACAAGGTGGTCAAATTTGCATCTTTGATGAATATTTCAGTTATTCCAAGAGCCTTCAAAATGTCTTTTAAATCAATTTCCTGTTCCACTGTGAACCTGGAGAATGTACAGGGGGAAAACAATATATATATAACAATAATATATTGTTACTTGGGACAAGAATAGAATATTAAATATGTTGATATTAAATGTCTACTTCATAGAGCATAAATTATGCTAAAACTCACTTTTGACTTCAAGAAGCATTTGATTATGCTTATAAAAATGAAGCATTGAAGGGAATGATATAGCAATAGGATTTGAATTCATAAGTTGGAAAATATATGATATAGACACAAAACTATAAATATACTGTAAAATGAATGAATTTTGAGAATAAGAATCATTAAGTATTATGTATCTTTAACCTAGCAAGTAATATATTTAACTTTAAGCTGGTAATTATTGCTTATAAATTTACCCAAGATATTTCCCTCTCTTAGGATTGTGGTCAACTTAGGCTATTTACCCAACTCCCACTTACCATGTACAGATAAACAAGAGCCAAGTCCTATTGTACAATTAATACATTTAGCATTTTAACTCAATAAAACTTATCATATTTAAAAATGCATCCTGATGGTTATATTTATCTGGTGGACATAAATAAGCTTGTTCCCATGCTATCAGAAAAAAATTCTTAGCAATAGAAGTGAGTTGAACATTATGTCTTAAAAACTGTAGGCATTTATAATTCTAGCAGTTTCCTTTTTTAGACAAAAAAATAATGGCTCTGTTTTGTTTTAAATAACTTTATGAGTTGTTATACATAAATATGCATTAATTTTGTAAGAAGACAAAACACTAAGTACGGTGGTCATGAATAGAATATTATTTTTCAAAAAATGGTTTTGCCAGGTATGGTGGCTTATGCCTATAATCTCTGCTCTGTGAGGATAAGACAGGAAAATCACAAGCCTTGGCCAGCTTGGACAACTTAGCAATTCAGTGAAACTCTGGGAAATTTAGCAACTTAGTGAAAACCTGTCACAAAATTTTAAAAAGGGCTGGGGATGTAGCTCAGTGCAAAGGCTCTGGGTTCAATCCCCTGTACTACAAAATGAATAGATAAATGATAGATAGATAGATAGATAGATAGAGATAGGATAGACAGATGGTTTTGACAGTAAAACCAAACAGGTTAATATGGAATCTTCCTTAATTCAATTAATTATATCATTATTCTTTCTAGTGAAAGATACTAACCAATAATGCCTGTATTAACAAATATTTTTTAAAATAAGAATTCATTACAGTAAAACACATGAACACTTGTCAAAGTTAAATATTTTCCTTTGTTTAGGATGTTGCTTTCTGATTAATACAGATCATAAATATGAAGTTTTAGGCTATATTAGGTTATATCTTTATATATGAGCTAAGTCTATCATAGTTACTAAAAGTTATAGTAGAATCATTTTTGTGCCTTAGAAAGAACTGGAAGGAAATGATTCTCATAAATAAGATTTAGACAAGAAAAGGAGCAATCAGGAAAATAGTTTTAGCAGGTCCATTTTAGGGAAAAATAAGACAAGTATACACATATTAAACATAATAATCTGTGCTGAATTTTACCCTATCATATACTCTAACTTGGATTTTACATTGTTTATTTCATTTTCTATCAAAACACAGAAGAAGTAAGCTATATCATGTACAGGCACAAATTCCCTTTGATGAATGTTATCATTATGTATATCTAAAATGTACCAATAAATGTTCTACTTAAAACAAAAGATTGTTGTGAAAATAGAATTCTTTTATGATTTATACATTTCATAAAGGGAAGTAGGAGGAAAACACAGGATGTCTCAAAGAATATATTCAATGGCTTAATGTGTTCGTGTATGTGCATATTTGTTTATTGTTATTATATATATGCTGGACACTTATATGGAGTTTATTATACACCAGGGAGTGTACTAGAGTATTAAAAACAGATTAATTTAAATATTTCTACTGCCCTTTGAGGTATGTATTATTATTATTTTCAGGTAATAGAAGAAGGAAATGGGTGGCAGGAATGAAATAACTTGCTCAAGGTAATACAGCTAACAACTGACAGAGCAGAGATGTGGATCTAGGTAGTCCTCATCCAGCTAACATAGGAAAATGAAGAAATGTGTCAGTAATGGGTTCTTTTTACTTCCTATAAGTAACTTGATGTGTTTCACTCTCTTGCAGCTGGAGGGTAAGGTGATGATGAATAACTTATCCAGATAAACTTGAGCAAGTTCCTTAAATTTTGAGCCTCAGTTTGGGGATATGGAAAATGACAATGACAATATGTACCTCATAGCATTGTTAATTAAAGGATTAAACAAGGTTTATAAAATACTTAGAATGGTGCTTGCATGCAGAGGCCATGTGGTAAAGGGATGACACTATTGATACTACTTATTGTAGTTACATAGAACATCACATATTATAGATGCTAAGATATTGTATGTTTACTTTCTAGTATCAGTGGATGTACTTGTATTCAATAGCTGTATTAATTGCTACAAATTAGTCATATCTAGTCTCTTATTCATTTTAGTATTTGTAATATATAGCATAAGACAAATCATATAGGTTGAAGTAAAATAAAAGCTAGAAGTATATAAGATTTTTTGTTCAAAGATAAAAATAGAATGTAAATAATTTCCACTTGTCTTTTTATCTGCACAAAACAACTGAATAGCTATTATTTAGTTATTACCTCTTTGCTTTTAATGCAGACTAATATTAATATAAATAATCATTACTACCTCAAAAATAGAGAGTGCTTACTGTATTCTAAGTACTATGAAAATTATTTTATATATACTAACTTAATCATCATTCTTCTCCTGATTTCAATCCTATGCTATGGGTACCATTTTCTCTAGGCTGGGGAGGAACAACCTAACACTAAAAGTTGAAGCAATTTGCTCTCATCACCAACATAGCAAATGGCAGAATGAGGATATGAAGTAAGGTCTTCTGACTGTAAATCTCCCATCACCAACCACTGTAATTTGCACACTGGCTTTCAAAAATAAAATGTACATTTTATATTTCACTGATTATAAAATAAAAAGTCACAACACTGTTTTTTTATTTTCTTGCAGTACTAGGGAGCAAAACCAAGGTGTTTGTCACACATTCTAGGCAAGCACTCTACCACTGAACCACAACCTAACATGCTTTTGTAGAGCCCTAAACTATACCTATTTTAATAAAACATACAATATAATTACACATTTACAACTTTATAGCTGAACAAGTTCAAAACGTATATAAAAGCCAGAAACATGAAATTTGAAATGTGTGAAGCACATATTAGAAAAATCAAATATATATGTATAAGATCAGAGAATTCATAAGCAATTAGAAAATTAGTTAAACCCTTTGTAGAAACCCAATAAAAAGTACTCATTTTAAAGAAGAGAGTCATGTTGTTTATGTCACCAGTTTTCTTTTAAAAGCGTGAAACTAAGCACAGCAGCCCCCAATACCAAGGAGGTGAACATTCCGGGCCACCCTACCACCAGCCCTAGTGCCAAGGAGGATCATTCCAGGCCTCTGTACCACTGCCTCACCACCACCCGTGCGCCTAGGAGCACAGCCACCCCCAGCACCGAGGAGGTGAGCATTCTGGGATCCCATACCACCACCTCCAATGCAGAGGAGGAACCTTCCAGGCAACCATACTACCGCCCCCAGTACCAAGGAGCACAGCTGACCCCAGCACCGAGGAGGTTAGCCGTGCAGGAGCCAGCAACACAGATTCCCCCCACCCCCATTTGAAATGAGAAGAAACATAAACAAGTCTCAAAACCAGACTTCCAGATCACCTAAAGAAACCCCAAAGGGAAACAAGATGGAAAAATCTGATACTCAATGATAACCTGGACTCCCTAAACTGGCAAAAAAAAAGAGCATCTGGAAAAAATGAAATAAGAAATAATTTCTCAGACAACAGCAGAGATTGTGCCATATTGATCATGCAAGACACGATAAATAAATCTAGAGAGGACACAGAGAAAAAATAGAGGAGCTGAAGAACATAATGGAATCCCAACAAAGGAAACAAATGGAATCCATAAAACAGATGTAAACAGATTTCCAGGAGATTAAAAACTCCACTGAAAGTTTCCACAGTAGAATGAGCCAATGTGAGGACAGAATTTCAGATATAAAAGACAAGATTGCAATTAGGGATGAGGAAAAGAAAAATTTCTTTAAAATAGTAAGGGACCACAAGAAATCTACCCAGGGGCTGCTAGACAATGCATAGAAGAATGACATAAGACTGATCAGAGTCAATGAAGAAACAGGGCGGAGTGCAGATGACATAAAGAAACAGAAGTGATGGCAGAAAACTTCCCAAGCAGGGGAAAAGAACTTGACATACAAATAAGTGAGGCATATAAGACTCCAACTAGCCTTGATCAAAAAA